AGCGAGGGAGAAGGGCGAGATGGGAGGGAGAGGAGAGAGCATGGGGAAAGAGAAATGGGAGAGGGAGAGAATTGGAAGGAGAGGCGAAGTAGAGAGGGTAAAGATGGGAACAGGACGAGAAGGGAGAGACTGGAGGTTGGGATAGATGAGAGGAGAGATGAGAGGGAATTAGGAAATATGAGAGGAGGCAGATGAGGAGAATGTCATCAGGGAAAGCAGGGAAGTCTTCTTCAAACCACTCTAAATCTCTCCAGAATGTTAACAGAATGTTTCTGTATATTGCACTGCACTGCACTGCAGTTGTGTTTTCCACTTTCCTTCTGCACCCCCTGCAGTTGTGATTCACTCGCCATGTCGCCCTTTGCATGATTTGGGTATGTACTCTCCACACAGCAATTCTGAATCCCCCCATCCGTCCTCTCCTCTCTCGCCTCCTCTGCTGCACTAGAGGCCCCAGGCAGAGGAGAACAATCCCAAGCTCAGCCCTTTCTCCTTCACTCACTCCCAACCTCTCTCTCCATGTGACAGGCAAGCTCTGGAGGTGGCACGGGAGGGGCTTCAGCTCTTCCCTCAGAGCACCAATCTGCACTACCTTGCTGCCTCCGCCCACCACGCCCTCGCTAACTTCTCTGCTGCTGTACGCATGCCCAACCCAACTCTTCCTCCCTGATTTTTCCTTCTCAACTGGAATGGATTAACTTCTCTGTTGCCAGTGTATGCCCCTCTCTCTCTCTCGCTCCACAGCGATGTTGAGAGTTTCGGGCTTACTCTCCTTCTCATTCGTCCGCAGCAAGTTGCGATTCTCGAGGCACCTCAAAAGCCGTTCTCTGTCATTTCTGTGCGTGCGCTCACCAGGCACGGCACTACAGCACGGTGCTGGCCCTGGGAGGGCGGTCGCAGGAGGAGAACGCGCAGCTGAACCACAACCTTGCATTCTACCAGGTCAGCCAGTCAGTCCACGCGTTTCCTTGACCCTTCCGCGCTGAAAACTGCAGCTGCAGCTGCAGCTGCCTTCTATCAGCTCAGGCCTTGCACAACCCGCCTTCCTACCTTGTAGGTAGACGACTTTTGAGACGTCCCAAAAAGATCATCAGTCGTGGGAAGCGAACGTGCAGCTGTACCACCACCTTGCATTCTATCAGGTCAGCCAGTCAGCCCACGCGAGAGTTGCCTTGCCGCCTGACAATCGTTTCAGGTGAGTGAGACCCATGCAACCCACTGCCCTTTCTCCCCTCCGCCAAGCCTCCTTGCCCCCCTCACATCTCCTCTCTCTCCTTCCACCCTCGCACCTCTCCCCCCACCACAGTTGGAGGTTGCTGCCTACACACGCGCGTCTCTCAACCGGCCTTTCACAGCGTTCAGCATCGATGCTCACCTGCACCCTGCCCTGCTTGTCAGTCAGCTCCTAACCTAACCTTCTTCCTGCATGCATCCTGCCCGCCCACTGCTGGTCCCTGCCGAGAATTCTCTGTACTTGAGTCGAGTCACATTTCAGAGTGCTTTTAAGAAGCGTTTGAGAGAGAACTCTCAGAAGTGACTCAGATTTTTGCGTTTTTTAGGCGCCTCAAAAGTGCTTTTAAGAAGTTTTGGAGAGAGAACTCTCAAAAGTGACTCATATCTTTTCTGCACCCTGCCCATTGCTGGTCTCTTTGGCCTTCCCCCTTCCCCCGTCCCTCTGCCCACTTTCCACTTCTCCTCGCGCCTTTCCCTCTTCCTCCTCCTTCCGCCCACTCTCTTTCTTCTATGTAACCTCTACTGTCTCACTCTCTCCTGTTCTCGGCCTTCTGGTCTCTGTCTCAACGTGAGAGGTGTTTGTCTCTGAAAGACACAAGCCTTTCTCATTTTCCCCTCACATGCTACCCGCGCCCCCTCCCAGAGTTTTAAACGTCTTAAATATTGCCCTTCTTAACCCACTCCCCATGCCCACCCGTGCATGCCTTCCCCGCAGGAAGCATGGATGCGAAAGGAGCCTCCCCAGCTGCTGCCCCCTTCTGTTGTAAGATACACAACAGAGAAACAGCTTCAGGAGCAACAACAGCAGCGTCAGCAACAACAACGAAAGGAGGAGAAGAGGCAGCAGGAGGTGGAGCTATCAGAGGAGGCATTAGCCTTGGTGGAAAAAGCAGACGAGCTGGGGCCTCGAGCCATGTACCATGTGGGGGGCTTCCTGCACGACCCACGCAAGGTGTGTGCGGTGCAGATGGGTTGGAGGGGATGGATTGCAGTGGGAGCACCAGGTGGGACGTGGGGAACGTGAGGTATCTGGAGAAGCGTCAGCAGCAGCAGCAGGTGGAGCTATCAGAGGAGGCATTGGCACTGGTGGAAAACGCAGACGAGCTGGGGCCTCGAGCCATGTACCGTGTGGGAGGCTTCCTGCACGACCCACGCAAGTTGCGGTGCAGTACAGAGGGGTTGGACGGGATGGAACGCGGTGGGAGCACCAGGTGGGACGTGGGGAACGGGAGATGTCTGCTGCGTGTCCAAGTTGTTGATTTGTTCCTTCCTTTCCTCCTTGCCTGCCACTTCCATCTTTCCTCTATTCTAATGTTTTTTCCTCCCATGTTTTCCCTCATGTCCCCTCTCGCCCTCCCAACCAGCTGCCCCTAGCAGTGCCAACACTTCTGCTTCCTCCCCTTTCTCCCTTCCACCCTCTCTTGTTGCCTCTTCTCTTCCCTTCCACCCTCTCTTGTTGCCTCTCTTCCCGCCCCTCCACTCTCTCCCTCCCCGCCCCACCCGCTCCCCACCTGCTGTGCATGGCCGTGCTGCGAGCGTGGACTTTGAGGCGCCTCAAAAGTCATCTGCTGCGCATGGCAGGGCTGGCAGTGTAGACGTGGTGCAAAGTCCTCCTTGCTCACATCACATTCCCAACTTCCCTTCTTTGCAGCTTCTGTCCTTTCCATCTTCCCGCCTTCCCACTTGAACTTCTGCTTTTCCATCTCGCCCCGCCCCTCCCTGCTCACACCAGCTGCTCATGGTGGGGCTGGCAGCACGAAAATCGTCCATACTCCTCCTTCTTCGTACTCCCCTTTCCAACTTCCCTCCTTCCCATCGTCCTGCCTTCCCACTTGACCTTGTGATCTTCCGCCCCTCATTTACTCCTATCACCTGCGCATGGCAGGGCTAGCACCGCTGGAAAGGATGCACACTCCTTCCTCGATACACTCTTCCTTCCATCTTCCCTCGTTCTCACTTCACTTTCTGCTCCCTCTCCCCACCACTCCCCCTCCCCACCACTCTCCATCCCTTCCCATCCCCCTCTTCTCCCGCTCATCAGCTGTGCATGGCGGGGCTAGCAGCATTGGATGTAATGCAGCGGGTGTGACGCGAGGCACGTGGGGAGCCTCTCTCCCACCCCTTCCTCCTCCGCGCTTTCATCCCTCCAAACCCTTTCATACCCCATCTCACCCCTCCTCTCCCCCCATCAGCTGCGCATGGCGGGGCTAGCAGCGCTGGATGTGATGCAGCGGGCCAGTAGCGCATGGCAGGCCATGCTGAAAGAGGAGGAGGAGGAGGAGCAGGAGCAATCCGAGAGGCATGGCAGCAGTGGCAGTGGCCGCAGCAGCAGAAGCCAAGGCGAACAGAACGAGCAGGAGACAAGGAAGTGGGCGAGGAGGGGCGTTTTAGAGTCGACTCAAAAGCAGGAGACGAGGAAGTGGGCGAGGAGGGGCGGGTGGAGGGATATGCTTGAGGCGATTGTGCAGTGGAGGCAGATAGCCGACCCTATAGACTCTGTCACTTGGATTAAGGACAAGTGAGTGTGCCAGCTAGTGAGCCCGTCGGTCAGTCAGTCAGTCAGTCAGTCAGTCAGTCAGTCAGTCAGTCAGTCAGTCAGTCATTCAGTCAGCTCCCCACCTCTCTCCCCAACCTTTCTCCCCCCACCACTATCCGTGGCAGCAAGGAGAGCTACGGCAGTCACGTGGCGGCAACACCAATAGTGGATGGGCAGATGGACAACTACAAGTACTTTCAGTTCCATGACAGGTGCGCGGATGCATGGGTGCATGGATGATGACGTTGTGCATGAGTGCATGGTGGATGGATGCATGGTCCATGCTGCGTCCATGCATGGGTGAGAAGGTAATCACCCTCAACCCTTGAACCTCTCACTCATCCTCCTCCGTATGTCCCGATCCAATCGATGCACAGCCATACTCGCTCTCCCTTCCCCTCCCCTCCCCTCCCCACCATCGCCCTCCCACAGGGCCTTTGCCCTGATAAAGGACCGTCTTCTCACCACACAGTCAGCCACTGCTGCCTCTGGCTCCCCCAGCGTACCCCTCTCTGCATCTGCTCTTAAGAAGGTGCCTGCCCTTCTGCATTCCTGTCTGCCTGCCTGCTCTTTGCCTACCTGCCTCTCTCTTGCTTCTCTCTCTGCCTACCTACCTCCCTCTCTGCTTGCTTACCTCTCTAACTGCCAGCCTGCCTCTCTCTTGCTGCTTACCTCTCCCTCGGCCTGCCTGCGCCACTCTCTGCCTGCCTCCCTCTACTATGCACCTCTTTTAACTTGTTCTTTGCTGTATGTGCCTGGTGGTGTGCGGTGCTCTGTGGTGCGGTGGCATGAGCAGGTGCGGAAAGCATCAGGGCTGAGAGAGCTACATGCAGCAGTGGGAAGGGATTTCTACGTCCAACTACCATGCCACAGCCGAGCCCACCCAGGGTGAGCTCTGAGTCCGCTCGCAAACCGACTGTCCCGTGCAACGGTGATGCTACAGCCAGGTCAAGTCATTCAAGGCCTCCATGGGCGAATCCCCTCGTGCATCCTCTGCATCCTCCCCTGGTCCTCTCTCAAGCCATATACCGCCCTTTCCATTCTGTGATCTGCAGCCTTTGTTGGGTTCATCCCTTCATCTCTTTGCATGCACCCACCAACCGTACCTCTTTTGCTCATTGAGCCTGATTGTCTTTCCCCCGTTCCCGCGTGCCTCAACATGTCACAGCAAGGACATTGGTGGGATTCAGCTCGCCTTGGTCCACGTGTGAGTGTCCACACTTCAGAGCAGCGGGCTTCTCTCATTGTTCTCTCTCTCTCACGTCTCTTACTCACCCTTTCCCTGCACCTTCACTCTTTATGCCTTGGATTCTGCATTGAACCATTCTACCATGCATACGCAAATGCAAACGCACGCGCACGCGCGCACACACACACACGCTCACATGCACACACACGCTCACATGCACACCCCGCATCTCACATGCACACACACGCTCACATGCACACCCCGCATCTCGCATGCACACTACACTACATTGCCTGGACCATTCCTCGTCTCCCCACACCCCCCCTTGTCAGGACCCTACCCCTCACTCACTCATCCAGTCCTGTTGCTCTCCCTCACCACATGCGTATTCTTCCTTGCTCACTTGCCCTCCCCTTCTCCACAACCCCCTCCCTTTCCCCACATCCCCTTCCACCTCAAGCCTTGCTTTACCCCTTCTCCTCACCTCTCCCCTCGCCCCTCTCTACCCACAACCATTCTCCCTGCCAACGCATCTCCCCTCTGTCTGGCTCTGCTCCTCATGTGTGTCTGTGCAGCCCCCCTGGGTTTGTGTTTGCCATTCGCATTGGCCTCTCACCCCAGCGATGGAAGGACTTTTATTCCGAGCTCGACGCAGCCTGGCAGGTGCGTTACACTCAAGGATGGGGGTGAGAGAGGTTGGGGTTGATTTGGGAAAGGTGCCTCATGTGTGTGCCGCCCCCCACCCCCCTTCCTGCGGGCTTGTGTTGTGTGTGCCCATTTGCATTGGCGCCTCTCTCTCACCACAATGCTTGAGGGTTACGATCAATACGAATCTCTCTACACACTCTCACCCAGCGAATTCTCCCGCGTTTTTCCGCCTTTCTCCTCTATCCATCAACCCCCACCCACCGCCCTCCCCTCCCTCCCTATGCCCCTCGTCTGCCCCTGTCTCACCCCTCCGTTGTCACCCTTGCTTGGGCCAGGCACTAGGAACAGCAGTCGTGGAGGCGAGAAGAGCACAGGCGGCAGGAGGAGGAGCAGGCACACGCAGTGACTCACACAAGACACACAAGACGCACAAGACGCACCTGTCGCACCTGCCACACATGTCACACATGTCACACATGTCACATGTTCCGTTGGTGCAGAGGCAGAAGGTTCAGCGTGCCATTCTAGACCTCGCCTTTTATTGGTCAGTTTCCTCACCCACCGATGGCCCACGTGCACCCCTTGAGTCCAGTTTCATCAGTCATATCGGCGCGCTAATTCCAGATCTGGCATTTGGAATAGGGTCTGGCATTCCAAGTAATCTCAACTGGCATTCTCTTCTTCTAACAATGCTTCCAGGGCACAGTCGAGTTGAGGTGATGATAAGGATACGTGTAAGGATGACTTTTGAGTCGACTCAAAAGTCACCTCGGCACAGTCAAGTCGAGGTGATGATAAGGATACGTGTAAGGATGCGGGTACGCCTTGCAAGGCTTACCAGCGATGAACTGCTTGCTTTGCTCCTACCAGCTCATGTGCTGTGTTGATGCTCGTAACAACGCACAACGACAATGACAAGGAGAGGGCGATGGATTACACCACCACACCACACCACACCACACCCTTCTACACTTGACCAAGCCCGTATCCCCCTCCATGCAGCCTCCGCAGCCTCCGTGCTCAGCAGACTCCTTCCCCCTTATCCCCCGTTCCACCCCTTTTCCCCCCTTCCCCACCTCTCCCTTCTCCCCCTTTTTCCAACTCCCCCTTCCCCCTCCCCCACCCATCCCCCACCCATCCCCCACAGGTACCACCTATCCCCACTGTCACGGGTTCCGCCATGGTGGGGTGGATCTCTGTGCTGGGTCTGACCATGGCCGCTGGCTTGCACACCATTCATCCCCCTGCCCTCCTTTTCCCCTCCCCCTCCCCCTCCCCCTCCAACTCCCCCTCCCCCTCCCTCTCCCCCTCCCCCTCCCTCTCCAAATCCCCCTCCCTCTCCCCCTCCCCCTCCCCTTCCCTGCAGGTACCACCTGTCGCCGCTGTCAAGGGGGTCCGCCATGGTGAATGGATCTCCCTGCTCGGGCTGTCCATGGCTGCTGGCTTGCACACCACTGGTTTCCCCCTTTCCCCGAATCCCTCCTTCCCCCCCGAATCCCTCCTTCCCCCCCAATCCCTCCTCCCCCCCGATTCCTCCTTTCCCCTGTCACTGAATATCATGGTAAGAGCATTATATTCTGTAACTGTGCTAACTGGGGTGTAGAAGCAGTGTAGTAATTGTCATTCAGTTTGTACACTAGGTAGTTGGGACATTGGGAGAAGCGCGAAGTTGGTAGTATGGGGGATTGCAAGGCGCTGCGGGCACAATTCCAAGGCCCTCGAGAGACAGGAAATCTGGCACGAGGCCAATACAAGGCCAAGGCGGCTCGAGCCCAACCCATCACGCTGAGAATCTCGCGACTGGGTGGCCTAGCATAAGTAAGCCTAGCCTAGCATAGTACTCTTGTTCTCTCGTTTGTTTACCAGTTCATAGTGGACTTATGTTACCGTTCTAAGCTACAGCAGCCAGGTGACAGACGCCACTCTTGGTAGCCAGCTGTGGGAGCCGAATCCCTCACAAACGAGAGAAGTGCAGGCGACATGGATCGCCATGAGCTGCGCGAGCAGCGGCCGTACTCACGGCGGGAGCGTTCACCGTCGCGGAGGAGGCGCGCATCGGAGCGCGGGAGGTCGCCAACGCGCTCGCCCCGCAGAGCGGCGTACCGCGCGGACTTGGTGACACCTACGGGCAGGCACCGTGATGATGATGGATCGGATCCGCGCGTCAGATCTGAGCCGTGGAGAAGGCCAGCGAGGAGCGATCCGTGGAATCTGCCGGAGGGACAGCACAGAGGACGCGCGCGCCAATACGATGGCGACGTCGACATGCAGTCGCTGGATTCGGCGAGTGAAGCGGACGAAGAAGAATACCATGAGGAAGCGTCAGAGGCAGAACGCGAGCTGCGTCGTGGCGCGGAAGAAAATGAAGACGCGACAGGTGCGCAAGGCGGCATGCAGCACGGCGAAATTGGCGAAGATGGAGAATCCCCGACTGCGCGGGGCGGCGAAAATCCCAAGAGCCAAAACGGAGAAGATTCTCCCACTGCGCGGGGAGGAGGAAGGCAAGGAGATGCAGAGAAGGATGATGAGGAACAAAGCCGACGCAGCGGAACGCGGAAGCACGAGGCAGAAGGCAAGGCCGAAGAGCACTCACCAGCGAGGCGGCGTGAAAATGACGCGCCGCGAGGAAGCGCCAAGGGTGCGGAACGCCGGTCGAAGGCAAATCGGGAGGGCGAAGGAGGACGTAACGCGCATGCGGGTGTCTTCCGCTCGCCTGAACCAGGACTGAGGTATGAGCGCCGACGACGTATGGCGACGGGTGAAAGGCAAGGGGCGGAGCGCGAGGATCATGAAGAGGAGGAAGAGTACGAGGATCGGCGCCAGAGAAGCCCGCGCAGAAGGGAGCGAAGGCAGGATGCGGAAAGGCGTGACAAGGAAAGAAGCCAGCGGTCGCCGAATGGTTCAAGAACAGAAGAAAGAGGATGGCGGCAAGGAGAGCCTGAGCGGCGGCACCAGGAGCGCGCGCCTGCGTGGAAATCAGAACGGCGAGATAGTGCGGAAAGGCGCAAACAAGATCATGGAGATGAGAGGAGGAGGAGCCCAAGTCCGACAGGGCCAAGGAGGTCACGGCCATACGGAGAAGGATCTGGAGGAGCGAGGGCAGCCCGCGAGGGGCTGGAGCGAGTGCTGTACGGGACCAGTACGGGAAGCAGAGAAGAAAAGGGGAGGCAGCGGGGAGCTGTGCAGTCAGGTCGGGGAGAATCAGGAAGCTGGGACACAGGCAGATGGGCCGCGACGGCGCAGCCAAGAGTGGAGGTACCGGTGCGCTTCACGGGGAATGAAGGGACTGGCCCGAGCCTGAAGAACTACTTGATGCAGATCAGCAATGTTAAGTACAAGTGTGACCGGAGCGGTATGGACCCTATCGAGTTCTTCTTAAGCCTGCCAAACACACTGGGAGGGGAGGCGGAGACACTGTACCGCATGAAAATCGGAGAATGGTTGAGGAGGGCAGAGGAGGATGGCGAGGACCCAACAGTGCTGTTCCTGGATCGGCTGAGGAAGCAGTTTCCAGGGCACACGGCCCAGCGCATTAGGGAGTATCAGGAGTTCAGGCGTCGAGATGAGGAATCACTTCTAACGTACTACGGGCGGTTGATGAACCTAGCAGAGGACGTGGTGTGCACTGACAGCAGTATGATCATTAGCAAATTCTTGAACGGCTTGGACAAGGGGCTGGCAGGAGGCTTGAGGATGCGAGTATACGAGCTAGGGGCTGAGGCGACACCTGAAGAGGTGTTTGAGCTAGCAGAGAGAGTGGAGTTGGCGCAGCGGAAGTACGAGGTGTACCTACCGAGGCCGATTGAGAAGAGGAACCCCGCTTGGGCAGCAGCAGCAGTGCCGGAGATGGGGGGAAGGGAGGATGGCTGAGCGGAGAGAGGAGCTGAGACGCGCACCTGCCACCGATGCAAGCAGCCGGGGCATCTGATGAGGAATTGTAGGAACTGTGACACCTGCGGGAAGCCGGGACACCGCCGCAAGGACTGCCCGGATGCACCAACATGCGAAGTCTGTGGGAAGCGGGGGCACAAAGGAAAGGACTGTTACCAACGCACAGGGGGGCTGAGGAGGACTCCAGAAGACATAGAGGGTCAGATAGGCAGGCTACAGGCGCAGCTACAGGCAATGGGTGGGAAAAAGGAGGAGGCAGGGTTATATGCCAGGGAAGACGATGACGAAGCAGAAGCAATAGAGGAACCAGAGCCGGAATACAATTTCATGGTGCTCCGCAGCAGAGAGGAGCTGGGCCTGCGCAGCGGGGGCAGGGATGGGAGAAAGGACCACATGACCAAGGAAAGGGGCAGACCGAAACAAAGGCCAGGGGAGAAGGGTGAGGAAGGAGAAGAGCCAGCAAGGCATCCCAAGGATCGGCTAGCTAGCCAGGCAACCGTGCTAGTGGCAGAGGCAGGAACGGTGGCAGTAGGTGGAGAGATAGCAAAGACAGCAATCTTGGACACGGGAGCGCAGAGCGTGATGCTGGGAAAAAGGCTAGCACGGAAGCTGGGGCTGACCGAAGCAGGGCAATACATAAAGCGAGGAATGCAGGTAATGACCGCGGAAGGAGGCGAGCCCAAGTGGCTGCCATGTACAAGGGACCTAGTGGAAATAGTCCTAATGCCGGGGAGAGAGGAACAGACTAGTATACGGCTACAATGCGGGATATCAGACTCGGAAGATTTCGACGTGCTGCTGGGGACAGACCTGATCTGGGGCGTGGGGATGACCATCTGCACCTGGAAGGAGAAAGTGAAGTTTCGGAAGCAGTATTGGGTGCGGGGGAGCAAGACGGGTGAGCTGCCTGTGCAATTCACTAAACAGGAGCCAAAAAGAGCGTACACGGCTGAGCAAGCGGGAAGCGAGGGAAGAGGGAGAGCGGGCCTAGTGGGTGAAACAGCGATAGCTAATGCATGGCAGGAACCAATCAGGCTGGTGGAGCTGTTCGGGGGAATAGGAGCGGGGCTGGCAGCGGTGCTCAGAGCGGGAGTAGCGGTGAAGGAGTGGATATATGTGGAAAAAGACGGACAAGTGAGAAAGATGGCTGAACGACATGCAAAGAGACTGCAGAAGGAGCATCCTGAACTACTGGAGGAAGCAGTGATAAGCAAAGCAATGGCAGGGACGTTGACCGATGTGAGGGACGTGACACGAGAAGTGGTGAGGGGCTGGGGGCACGTGGATCTGCTGGTAGCAGGGTGGGAGTGCCAAGCCGTCTCAAGGGCGGGGAAGGGAAAGGGGTTGGACGATCCAAGGGGAGCACTGCTAATTAATCTGCTGTGCATCATTGACTGGATCAGAGAAAGACAGGAGAAGGTGGTGCACCTACTGGAGCACCTGGACATGGAGGGGGATTGCCGGGAAGCAGTCAGAAAGATCCGAGAGTTTGTAACACGGAAGCTGGGGAAGGGGGTAAGGTGTGACGCCGCCAGGCTGGGGGCACGGGCTCACCGTGTCAGAAGGTATTGGCAAAATGTCGTGACGGAAGAGCAACTGCAGAAGGAGCTGGATGGGATACGAAGGGACTGGAGCAGGACGGTGCAAGAGATATTAGAGCCAGGCAGGACAGCGGCGCCGGTGAAGAAGGGCAGGCACGAGACATAGTGCCCATGCAACAAGGTGGGGGCAGTACGCAGGGCCTGGCCGACATTGGTGGGGTACAAGGGAGCAGCAGGGTTTAGGAAGGAAGGAGGAATGCCAGGGGAAGGCATGGTGTACGTTCATAGGACGAAGAAGTGGGAGGAACCAACGGCACTGGAGCGGGAGCTGGCGATGGGGTATGGGGAAGACATAACCAAGGCAGCAGGGGTGACGGAACAGGAAAGGAGGAAAGCGTTAGGACAGGCTATGGACGGTCAGGTCATGCAGTGGCTGATGCGGCGAATGTGGAGAGGGCTGGTGCTGGAAGGGGAGCAGAAACCGCGAAGGAAGGAGGAAGGGGTGAAAAAGGTGGGGGCATGGGCGTGTATGGCAGTTCAGGAAGAGCCAGCGTGGGTTGTGGGAAATGCAATGAGCGAGCAAGGGAAGAAGGCAATGCAGGAGGTGCTGGCCAGGTATAGGCATGCCTTTGCGTTTACCTTACAGGAGTTAGGAAAGTGCTCAGTGAAGGAGATGGAGTTGAAGCTGGTCACGGACGAGCCGGTGTTTCAAAGGAAGCGGAGAATGACACCCGGGGATGAGGACATCTGCAAGGAAAAATGCAAGGAGTTGCTAGAAGGAGGACTGATACAGAGATCAGAATCGGAGTACGCAACACCGACAGTGGTAGCCGCACGAAAGGACCTGCTGGGAGAGGTGCTGAGCCGGCGTATGTGTGGGGATTACCGAGCACTGAACAAGGTGACAGTGCCCGATAGGTACCCAATGCCGACAGCGGAGGACATTTTCGACCGACTAGGAGCAGGGGAGATCTTTAGCACGCTAGATTTGAGACAGGGCTTTAACCAGATCAAGATCAGGAAGGAGGACGTGCGTAAAACAGCATTCCATGGTGCAGACGGGCTGTACGAATGGCTGTTTATGCCATTCGGGCTGAGGAACGCGTCAGCCATCTTCCAAAGGGTAATGGACAGTGTACTGAGGGGGCTGGAGTGTACCGATTCCTCCTTTCCCCCCGATTCCTCCTTTCCCCCTCCCTCCCTTCCATCCCCCGCAGGTACCACCTGTCGCCCCTGTCAGGGGGGTCAGCAATGGTGGGGTGGGTCTCCGTGCTGGATCTATCCAAGGCTGCTGGCCTACACACCATTCTTCCCTCCTGCCCTCCTTTCCCCCTCCCCCTCCCGCAGGTACCACCTGTCGCCCCTGTCACGGGGGTCAGCCATGGTAGGGTGGGTCTCAGTGCTGGGACTGTGCATGGCTGCTGGCTTGCACACCACTGCACTTGTTCCCCAGGGCATGCAGGTGAGATGAGACATGCTCGGGTGTGGTTGAAATGCTTCGTGTTTGCAACATGCTAAGGTCTAATTGTGTGCGTAATGGCCTGTTTTATTTGCACATTCACTCACTCGTGTGTGCATTCGCACACTTGCTCGCTCTCTCATTGCTGTGCACAGATGTGGGCATGCATGGATGATGTGCTTTAGTGTGCAACCATCCACACATATGCACACGTAGACCAAACCCCACATAAACTGTTGTATGCACTACCACACATGGACATGCACACGAGCGTGCACACACACACACACACACACACACACACATACACACACACACATGCACCCACACACACACCCTAAATTGCCACTCATTCACACTCACTAACACACAGTCACCCACACACGCACGCACACGTACACACACCCACGCGTCCACGTGTCACACACACACACACAATTACACACACACTCATTTTCGCACACACACACCCACACATGCCGCACACACACATACACGCCACACGCGCGCGCACGTGCACACACACACACACACACACACACATACACACACACACATACATGCACACACACACACGCTGTTTGAGGTCTATTGGAGATCTCCGATTGATTATAGGAAAGGGTTACAGGCATGTTGGACTAGGGGGTTATAGGCGCACTCACCCGCTACACAAAAAAACCCATTTTATCCCCGTGGTTAGTGGCTGGGATTCTGACACACACACTGCCCCACCCATACACACAGAAAAGAAGGTTCTATGTGTTGTAGTTTGGGAGGCCATGCTACTGAGGTGACTTTTGAGTCGATTCAAAAGTCACCTCGTTTCAAGTAATTTAGTCTGGGAGGCCATGCTACTCCCCGACTCTGCCTCAATCCTCTCTCCCCCCTCCCTTCCTTCCTCCAACCCTACCTCCTCCCCATCTAACCTATCCGTGTATCCCCTCAGGTGGACTGGGAGGCCATGCTAGTCCCTGATTCAGCAGCATTCAATGCCACCATTGCTCCCTGGCTTTTCTCCTCCGTGCAACAGCCACCCTGGGACCTTCCCAATGTGCACCATGCCCTTCCCACAACTCACCACGTGCTTGCTGCCCTCAACCTTTAGCTAGATGGGATGCACATTCAACGTGGTGGTTTTGACAAAACCTGGTTGGGGGTTGGCGAGATAATGTTGCCCGGGCGGAAAGAAAAGAAACGAAAGAAAGAAAATCGTAAGCGAGCACGTGTGACGGAAAAGCATCTGGCATATGGAGGCAAGTGATCAACCTTTGCCCCTACCTTGATGTAGGGGGTAGGGAAAGGGAACAGAGTAGAGGAGGGTGTGGTGGAAAGAGGGAGAATGAGGGGGAGGAGGAAGAAGGGGGAAGGGAAGACACAATTAAAGTGGTTGAAGTAGTGAGGAGTTTGGAAGCTGTCAAATGAATTCTAGTTAGAGTTGTTGCGATTATTGTTACAGGATTCCACTGTGAAATTAGGTGTACCGGCTCTGGTTATGCAGCGATAAAGAGGAAGCTTCGTTATGCAGTAACAACTCTGGTTTGTTAACAAATTGGGATAATCGGACATGTTTGTGTAGTGCGTCAGTGCACCCCTTGACCCCAAAGTCGACCTATAGGCTGTAGCCCTTTAAGGAGACTACCACAGGCCATTCCAGTTACCGCTTTCAACACTCCCGCATTGGGGGAGCCCACCATTTGGCACAGGAAGCTGCCGACAGCAGGAGTTGAACCCAGGTTCACCGCGCTTATTCTTCCATGTTCTCCACACCATGAAGAGATTGGTCCGGTTTGCTAACCGACTGGGAGAGAAGGGCACATTTGCATAACGGATAGTGCAACCATCCCCCCCCCCCCCCCCCCCCCAGGATGGCACCAATAGCCCTAGGGGAGACCATTACGTGCCATTCTAATGTCCACATAAAACAGTGTTGGAGCTATCTTTAAGGTTTGGCTGGCAGGTACAGGTGAGGGGTGGGATGGAAAAGGCGTGAAGACGGAGTGAGTTGGGCGAGGAGCTACAATTGTTCAATTGGACTTTGTTATGTCAGTGGTTGTTGACTAGGGCTTTTTATTTATTTATTTTCACTACTCGGATTTTCAGAGTTTTTTTTTTTTTTTTTTGGGAACTCTGAAATTCAGGATTCGTTATGAGCGTTACTTTGATTTGTCAGAGAAAACTTAACTTATGGAAAAAAAAAACACTGGATAGTCAGTGCACCAATTTTTCCAACTCTAAGTGTTCTTTCAATACTGAACCCAAGCCTTCGGCGCCCCTACAAAACTTATTACCGTTGTGCTATGCGCTCATCATCTATGTTGGAGATGTATTTTCTAATACATAGTGTAATCAGCCTAACCATTTTCCACCAACTCAGGAAGGGGCTCGGTCGAAATGCCTATACCATGTATAGAGAAGAATACAATTCGTCAGAAATTTACACTGGTCTATCAGAGTACCTAAAATCAAAACACTGGCAAATCAGAGGAAACTTATCTTCCAAAAACTTTACCTAGAAACATCAGAGTGACCTCCCACAAAGCACTATGATTTTCATAGAAACATAGTAATTTACTCTGATAAAAAAACCCATGTCGTCGACCCATGTTGGAGAATGGTGCAACAGCCTAGTATATCTCAACGGGACGTAGCTGGCGCGCTAGCGACAAAGTCGCTTCGACAAAACGACAAACTGCCCGGGGCAAAAAAAAAAAAACCCCAGACGGATGGCATGCCGTTCGGGAGCCTCAACCCTAAGATTTTAGGGTTTAGGCTCCCGAACGGCGCATGCATCCCGATGGGGTTTTAGTTTTTTCCTGCCCGGGTCAGGGTGACGCTCCCGAAAGCGCCACCCCCGAGCGTCACCCCTGGCAAAACGGAGCGTCACCCCCGTTTCCGTTGAGAGATACAGTGGCAACAATGAACAAAATTATCACAATCGGCTGTAGTGTCATTGCCCAATCATCACATAGTCAGGATGGACAACTGCACAATGGGGACTGGAAATCTTATAGACCGAGCAAGAAGTTGTGCTTGTTTCTGGTGTGCAGGTGCAAGACGTTCAAGCACGACACCCAAATTTCATCAGGCTAAAGTGCATGATGCATCTTGTACATTGTTTTTAGGGTTTTTATACGGGCCGTCTCAAAACATTTCGGAGTTATCACGAGCAGTCATATGTTCCGCCAAATCTATCACGGACAGTCACAAAATCTGCCAAATCTATCACGAACCATCACACGGGTATCACCCGCTGTCACTCAAAGGCACTAATTTCTATCACGGGTAGTCACACTCGAAACTTTGCTATCATAGATGAACCCTCTCATCATTTCGTTGACCCGCCCTGAAACACTGTACAGATTTAGGGACTATATTTCGGATTGCTGGCTTTTGTCTGTCAGAACATTATAGCTTACTTATTTGTGTAGGCTATAGTGGGGTATCCCATAGGGGGTGCAACCCAATTAGGGTTTCATATTTGTACTCACTTCATTCATAGTTCATTCATTCTCGTTCTTTCTTTCACATGGAATCAGAGCAGGTTCCCTCCTAGGGACTGCTTCTAGGGCCCACCGAAGCGCGCCCCGAAGCGCGTTTTCCTTTTTTTTAGCGACCCGTTGTGTCGCCCCCAGCGGCCCGTCGCGCCGCCCTTCCCTTAGCGGCCCCGCCGCGCTTCGATCGCGGCTCCGCCGCGCTTCCTTAGCGGCCCCGCCGCCCTTCGATCGCGGCCCCGCCGCCCTTCGATCGCGGCTCCGCCGCCCTTCCTTAGCGGCCCCGCCGCCCTTCGATCGCGGCCCCGCCGCCCTCTGCTAAGCGGCCCCGCCGCCCTCTGCTATGCGGCCCCGCCGCCTTGCTCACGCGGCCCCGCCGCCCTCTGCTACGCGGCATCGCTGCTGCGTCGCCCGTGCACCTGCCCGTGCACCCGCTCGTGCACCTACCCGTGCGGCCGCCAGTGCAGCCGCCCGTGAGCAGCCTGCGAGCCGCCCCAGCCGCCCGTGCAGCCGCCCGAGCAGCCGCCCGCGAGCCGTCTCAGCCGCCCGTGCGGCCGCCCGTGAGTCGCCCGCGACACGCCCGCGCCGCCCGAGCCGCCCGCGAGACGCCCGCACCGCCCGAGCCGCCCGAGCCGCCCGCGAGACGCCCGCGCCGCCCGAGCCGCCCGAGCCGCCCGAGCCGCCCGAGCCACCCGAGCAGCCCGAGCCGCCCGAGCCGCCCGAGCCGCCCGAGGAGCCGATCTTCTGCTCCTGTGGGGCTCCTACTGCTCCTGGGCCGGCGCAGCTGCTGTGCTGCCGTGTTGCTGTGTCGCTGTGCTACCCGACTCTTCCTACCCGGTGAGACTGTCAGCTGCTACAATGGCCACCCCCAGTGTCCTGACTTTTGACGCTGAGGGTCGCGCCATTGACTTTGCAGTCTAGATTGAGGACCTGCAGCTGTACTTACTGTGCAATGCGATCGATGAGGTTTCTCTCTTTGACTTTGTCTCTGGCGCTGTCCCTGCCCCTCCTGCTGATGCTGACCCCACTGTTCGCTCCAAGTGGGCCACACGCGATGCTGCTGCACGTCTTGCTGTGCGTCGCCACCTCCCTTCCTCCGAGCGTGCACACTTTAGTCAGTGCAAGACCGCTCAGGCCTTGTACAACGCTGTAGATGCGCGCTACTCCTCCCCTTCCACTGCTACACTGAGCCGCCTCATGCTACCGTACCTCTTCCCTGACCTTACTGCCTTTCCCACAGTCACTAACCTCTTTACCCACCTTCGCGCTAGTGACACTCGCTACCGAGCTGCGCTTCCTGCTGCCTTCCTCGCCGAAAACCCCCCTCCCATGTACATCACCCTCTACTTTCTAGTCACCCGTCTCCCTGAGTCCCTTCGTGCTGTTAGGGACCAGTTTCTCTCTGTCTGTCCCACCACCCTCACTGTCGACCTCCTTGACAAGTCCCTGCTAGCGGCCGAGAAGAGCATAGTCACTGTAGGGGCCTCTCGTGGTGACCCGCGCTCCCCCATC